CTATGTGTCCCTGTGAAGGACTGAAGACCTGTCCAGGGAGTCCCTGTCTCTCGCACAGTGACTGCTGGATATGGGCACCAGAGACCGCCATGACCCAAAAAGGACAAAAAGAGTAAACAGAATGGATGAATGGATTAAAAAATAATGAAAAAAGCTAAAATTAGCAGAAAGAAGCTGAATTTTTTTTTTTAAAAAGCTGAAATTAGCAGAAAGAAGTTGAAATTAACACAAAAAGCTGAACCAGAACAAAAGCTGAAATGAGAAGTAAAAGGTATTAAAGAGCACAAAGAGTTTGAAGAACGCGATTAATTTCCAGTGAGAAAAACAATGCAGAAAAAGTCAATCATAATAAATATTTCAAAAATAATAATTGCTCACCATACCAGGAGTGACCTGAATGAGCTGAACGTTTTGATAGATGTGAAATAGCACAAAAGTTGTGGAACGAGCTACGCGCTGAAAAATGTACAGAAGAAAAATGGATCACAATATTGTGAATCTTTTACGCATTCAAAACATTTGACTCCAACGGTCAATCAGTTACAGATGCACAAACATTGATTAGGACGTGAAAATGTATTTAAAATTCATGTAACCGTTCAAGAGATATTTTGCTAACAGACAGTGTTGACAGGTAAAGGGCATGCCAAAGTTTTAAGCTAAGTTGTGTAATAGAAAGCACTCTGAGTATGTGTTAAGGATTACTCTCAGCTACTGCTATACCAACCTTTAGCTCCATATCTGTAAAACTGACTGAATTAGTCATTTGAGTGTTGGCTAAAGTTGACATTCTGTGGCTACCATCTTGGATTGCAGTGCCTCCATAATTGAATCTGTTTCAAAGCCCAAGATTTATTATTGTAAGTTTCATTAAAATCAGTGGTTCAGGAGATATTTAGCTAACAAACAAATAGGGTTTATACCAATGATCAAAACCAAATTTTTAGGCAAAGATGTGTTGGAGAATGTGTTAGGGATCACTCTCAGCTACTACCACACCAAATGCTACCTCAGTATTTGTAACACAGGCTGAGTTGTCCACTGATTCATGACACAAACATTACACCTATTTAAACAATGCCTTTAAATACAATTGAACAAGTTAAAATAAAAACGTCAAAAGGGTGGCAGTTATTTATAACAATAAAACTGATCATCCTGGAGAAGCAGTCAGAATTACTGTTTCCACTGAATGATTCATGAACTACGGCACCAGTGGATAAAAAATAAACCTCAAGGTCATGAAGTTACCAGAGGATCCTGACCGTTAAACATTTAAGAGTATGTCAAAGTTTGTTAAACACAATTTTGCGAAAAGATGACAATAATCATGTATTTCTGTCCAAAATCTGGATTTCTGTATTTACCATTAGCTAGGCTTGATGGTTGTGAATGCTATTTGAGACTAAACGTTTACACTATAACTTAAGGAGAAAATTAAAGTGCGATAAACTACTTGCAGCATGAAATCGTAAATAGTCAAATTAATATGAATGTAAGCAAGCTTACAAAGTTAACACTTTTTAAACAAGATATTTTACTGGTGAGACTAGTTGGATAAGTTGACCACTCGTCTTCGTATTTATATCGATGCCATTTGTTGGATCAGATCCTTGAAGGAAAGCAAAATTCATTTTACTGTTTACCACAGCACTTTAGCGTTTTCAGCTATTGCCGAAGCAGTTTTCAAGTTGCTTCTACTCCTACCACTGCAGAAAAGCAATTACTCCGAGTCCCACTTAAACCGATCCTACGTCTGCGTCCACTTCTGCTTACACCTACACAAACCAATCCAGCGCACCTGAGTCCGGAGCAATCAGGTCAGCCCGTCTGATTAGACTGAGGGTAGTGTGAAAGGACCAGCTGGTGGCGAAGAGGGGTGGGGGGAGCCCTGAAGGAATTATTGACCCATCTCAACTCTCACCCCCTTGCTCGCACATAACACACTCAGGGCTGTGACCTGTGAAATTACTGCTCTGCTAGTGAGATTTGTTTCTGCAGGGCTTTATCAGCTCTTCAATGTGCCATGAAGGCAGGTGAGAAGCGAGAGAAAGAGATGTTTGGAAAAAAGACAAGTACTCTGTACATATCTAAATACTGGATATAATCATAATTATTGTACTTACAGTATACAACAGAATGAAGGTGACTTAATTAGAGTGAAAGAAATTACTTGATAGGTCATTTTTCAGATATTTAGCTGTTCCACCTCCAACCGTGTCATTTCTCTGTCAGTAAACTCACTAATTATTGGATTCATTCTCAAATCCATATTTGTGACTTTTTCACAAGACGGTGTCGTAATTACACATCTGCATGTTGCATGTCTCTCAAACATCCCCGGGAAAAGAAAAGAGAAGAGAGAAACAATAGGAATGATTTAATAAGGAATGAAGTGGGGTGTCATTCATAACCTAGGCTGTTGAATATTTATGAGCGTAAAATAACACCCAATTAACTTTCCCTAATTATTTTAATATTCATGATAGTTGCGTCTGTGCACTTGCTCTTTTGTTGCTTAGTCTAGACGCTGTAGAGCGTTCTGTGTGTGTGGCAGCCTGGAGAATGATGTGGGCAAAAGCATCATTTGTCTGTTTGCGTGTTTGAAATTCAGTTTTCTGCACCGCCTCAATCCTTCCCATTTTTTGTTTGTTCGTAGATCTCTCACAAATTTCTGCATAACAAGATGTCAGATCAGAAGAATGACAGAGAGGTGCAGCCGAGTCGCAGGAAATGTGGGTGGTGGGGGGAGGAGGAAGAAACACAAGACTACATCCTTATTAACATAATACAACTGGGTGTGTTCGCACAAGTGCTACTTATTATGGGTGACACCTTTTTTTTTAGCTTTCTGTCTACTAGCAGGAAAAGCAAACACAATGTGGATTTTTACATATCTCATAAGGGCTACTTTTATAAGACTCTGAAGTACTGGTAAATTAAAAGTAATATTTAGACCCGTTGACAGATTAATATTTGTATATAATGCTTTTAGATCTTGAACACTAAAATGTCATAGTGTAAGAAGCATGCTAACATTGTAGCTACTCAGTTCTGCAACTGGTTTGATTTAGGAGTGAACCGGTAAATCGGCCATCGGCCCCGATTTCGTTAATTTTGGGAGATCGGTTGATACGTACATGAGAAACCAATTTTCCAGATTGTCTGTAGTTTTAACAACAATTGTATAATTCTAAGTTTGGGTATTAGGTACCGTACTTGCCGCCGTACACGTTGCACCATCGTATAAGTCGCATCAGTCCAAATATGTCTCATAAAGTGAAAAAAAACAAACATACGTTGCTTCACCATGTAAGTTGCATCTATTATGTGTCATCGCTGACGCGTCACGTTTGTTATGCATCACTCCTGACAACCCAGAAATGTGGGCCGGTGTTGTGTTAAAAATCAAATGGTTGCCTAATGCCAGTTGCGGGAATGTGCACGGGAGGACTTTAACAAGAATTTAACAAGATTAACATTTAAAAACAATTATAGCAAAGGTGTGTCTCAGTCTAACTTTTCCTCAATAAGTGCACTTTGCCGATCAAATCAGCTGCATTTCAAAAGCCGTTTCACAGGAAAGCGCAGAAGGGACGACTCGCTGTGCATTTCTTTGAAATTTAACAAGATAACCACCTAAAAACATTTTTTTGTTTGCTTGACATTATAGTAAAGGTGTGTCTCAGTTGAACTTTCCCTTAAAAAAATACACTTTAATGGCCATATCAGCTGCATTTTGTCTGGGCGGCGAAATGCAGCTGATATGACATTTGCTCCAGGAGTTCTGGAGCAAGAAGAAGGTGGCCTCTGTGTCAAGCAAAGTATCTCATTAATGGCCACTTTTACATATTAATGAGACACTTGGCTTGCCATATAAGTTGAATGCCCTCTAGCGGCTGAAAATGGTAGTGTTCAATATTTTCCATGTAAGAATGAATGAAATTGTCAGATCTCAGCCAAAAATTAGGTTATAAATATGGCAAAAAAACCACATAAATATGTCACTTCTCTGTATAAGTTGCAGGCATGCTATTGTATGCAAAAAACTGCAACTTATACAGCGAAAAACATGGTAAATGTTTTTAGTTATTTTCCCCAAATGGACAGATCTTAAACGTCTTTTTAATTTTACCAACATGCAGTTCTTGACCTGTCCTTCATGATACTTATACAAGCAGGAAGGTGATGATGACATAAACAAAGTGATGATAACAGGGTATGGTCTATCAATATCTGCTCTGCATTATCACATAAATACTTGACGTTTGCTACAAATGTATATGAAATGCATTGCACATATATTGAATATGTATATAATAGAGCTACTTTTCAGTAAGCGTGTCGTTTGCTCCCTTGTAATTCTTAAAGCGTCTTAGGGTTTTGAACTGGAGTCTCGTGTTAACTGTTAAGATGATCACCTAAATCTATAACCAGCTCAGTGTGTCCATACCCTGACACTGAAGGAGAATGACAAAGAGTAAGAAATAAAATGATAAGGTGGAAAGCAGAGACTGGAATCGAAGGAGACACTGAACAAAAAAATAGGAAAAGCAGCGAGTAACTGAACGAGAAGATTAGATAGACACTGACTGTGAGAGAAAGCAGGAGCGTCAGATGGGGATATGAAAGCAGGATGGATGGAGAGAGCAGCGATAACAAATCAGTTATCTTGTTGAAACAGGCCTGTGTCTGTCTCACCTGCACCAGCCACACACGCTCGCCCTAATTGCCCAAACACAATCATGTGAAGTAAACAAGTGGCCGTTTGAGAGGTGGACAGTTGCATCACGTGCGTCACCGCTGCGTTACCATGGTAATGGAGCTTTTATCTGATCCAGGGTCAGCTTTTATTTACATCAACACCATCGTTACTTTGTTTCAAACAGGTATGTGCGAAACAGATGCTCCCCCAAACACATTCACACACAAAGGAAGAGAAAGTAAGAGAAGGAAGTGACTCAACAAGCAGCGTTGTGTCACAATTTGTGTTTACTCACATTTTGTGACAACACCCTCCAGCCTGATGATGTTGGGGTGGTCGAACTGTCCCATGATGGAGGCCTCGGATAAGAAGTCCCTCCTCTGTTTGTCAGAATATCCTGCCTTCAGACTCTTGATGGCAACGTAGATCTCCCTCTTCCCTTGCACACGCAGGCGTCCACTGCACACCTCCCCAAACTCTCCTACACACAAAGACATAATAGAGATCAAGAGTATACAAAATTGATTAATGTCATAGACCCAGATTTACAATTTGTCAAACATGGGGGGCGGGAAAACTGGCCTGATATTCGACTTTTCCTTAAGCATTAACATTGAACCCACTTCTAAATAATTATCTGCTCTTGCACTGCCAGCTTACCTGCTCCAATGACTCTCTCTATGCGAATGTTGGAAGCATCTATCTCTTTGGCGAAGTCTCGGACGGCCTGGTTAGGGTCTTCGTAGGTGTGAGGATGGATGTAGGTTCTGCTGCCTGGAAGCTTCACTGCATGAGTAAAAAGGTGAAAATGGTCAAAGAATCTCATTCATTTCTAAAACATATGACCAAGTCTTCTTAGTACTGGACTTTATTGCTATAACCTGCAGGGAAATGCTTTACGTCTAATGAAAAATATAAACTGTGAGTACATTTATAGGTAAATTGAATCTTCAGTGTAGGTGCTTCATTTGAGTGACAACAAAGAGTTACATAATGATACGCTTTGTTGGAAATGGTGTCAAAATGAGTCATATTTCTAACAGGAACCCATAAGGAGGTTTGCTTAGCAAAATACTCTTATATAAAGCATTACAAACAAAGAGCTAGTCTTTTTAGCTCAAAAATCTGCAAATATAAAGTTGTGCAGTATTGTCTCTTACGCAGGTAGGATAACCTCAATTCATGCTAACAGAGGAAGGCTTGTTTTATGTAAATAAACACTTTCACAGTGCATTTTATAATATTGTCACACTGACGTATTCCTCCCTGAGTCTGTTGTTTGCAGCTCCACAGACACAAAAAGGCATTCATCACAGGTGTGTGGCATGTTAACAAATGTCACGCCAATCAGGTTTCCACTTGTGTCTGTGAGTGTGTGAAGATGTTTGTTTCTGTACCTCGGCCGTGTTGGAATTGCATCTTCTCTTCGTCAGGGTCCTGCTTGGCTTTGATGTATCCACAGTGTCTGGGGAAAAAAAAGTTGGTGCTGTAAAGTCCTGCATGTGAAAAATTATTTTATTCCTCATGACGAATCGGATACATTTGCAACATGACTCTACTTTTTTTTTTTTTAATCTGACTCTCGCTCAAGGTGGATGCTCCTGCTCTCCCTCCCCCTGTTCTCCTTCCTCCTGCTCTGCTCTCTGTGTGTTTGAAGCTCTTGATACACTTCTCCCAAAAGAAAAATACGATTATGGATCTGGTGAGCTGGACTTTCAACGCAATCGACAAAATCTATTCAACAAATGACAGGGTCCTGGAGAACCCTCTTGTCCAGCTGAGACTCACACTGTGGGATACATCAGAGATCCGTGGAGAGTTTGTCAGCTGATGTGTCTCTCAGTTCTGTCTTAGAAGTACACTGAAGGTGTTTATATATTTGGATTTATGATAGCAGGGGTTCTGCTCTTTGGCATCGGCGGGGCTCTGTTTTATCAACTTTTGAAGAAGACTTTGGCAGCAGTTTTGGCCATGACAAAGCTTCAGAGAACGTTTGGTTCATGCTATGAGTACTCAAAATAAGCTGATTTATGAGCTAAACCGTAAGATGCAGGTGATTTGTGAGAATCACATGCCACCTGCGACTCTTAGGACTTGTCAGCATGCTTGGATCGACCTTGAAGAGGGCTCATAACACAGATCAGTGGAATGGATATCCATAAATTTGGCCATTTTGGACCATAAAGTTCCAGCAGGACTCTAGGCTGACGAGGAAAAAAAAAGTCTGCCTGAAGAAAAATCAACATTTGTGGCTTATCTAAATCTGACTCCCCCGTTTGGCCTCAGATACGAGCCGGCAATCAAATTTCTCCTGGGACATGGGTAACTAGGGACAAAGCTTCATCTATTGCTCCCCCCCCCCCCCCGGAAACTTCTGTGAAGTCTTATCAGAACTGCTAGCTGAAACAACATATTCAGAACTGTGGCCTATCTGAAAGTGCTCATGGACAAATCTCAACGTCTTGACATCAAATGCATATGTAATCATGTTTTGAATGTAATTGCTGGTAGAGTTTTTTGATATCTCAAATCGTATCCTGATAGGACAAGATGTGAAGAGATTTTTTTTGTAATACCACTATCTATCTTTATGGTTCTTACCCTTTTTCTATCTAAAAGTATTCTGATAAAGCATAAGGGGGGTGGGTGCTTTTTAGCAACAGCAACATGCACTCTGCCCATCTTTCGGAGAAACATGAAACACACAAACATAATTTCACTGTATCCTGGTACAGTGATAATAAAGTTTATTCTGATTCTGATTCACTTCAGTAATAACTACCAATCAGTGCAGTGTCTAGCTATGTCTGTGGAAGAACCAGGTACCTTAATGTGACAAGTTTTTCAGTTTCATTACTTTTCATTTACATAGCAATAATCTTAAAAGAGAAAACGCAACATGTGCTGGATTTAGACATTGACTAACTTCCATCCATAGTGTCCAGTGGCAGGTAAAACCATAATTCACATAAAGTGTACAGACAAAATAAAAATATCAAACATAAATAAATAAATAACATGCATTAAAACCCAAATCAAGATCAACAAACACAGGACGAAATAAGAATTTATTTACTAAATGAATTGTCCTGTATGAAAAGACAGATCTTTTTCAAGCTATGCTTTTGTTTAAGATACCCCACACTCTGCCGGAGTAGCCAGCCTGGAGGGTTTGTTATCTGATCTGAACAAAGTGGTACAAATGTTTTCAGCAGTCGAGGTGTCATATTATAAATTAATTGAAAGATAAGCCAGACATCTGAGAACATGATTAAATTATTAAAACTCAACTTCTGATACTGATTATATTATATTCCATGTTATTTATGTCATATCTGATCCAGTACTTTAAAAACTTGTTTGTAAAATTATCTGTCTGGTTTAAAAGTTATCTGGCTTGCTTGAGACCAACAGGATGTGATATTAGGGTGAAGACAATACAAATGCTTTCAAACACACCACAGATGTCCCGATGTACGCTCAATAATCCAGGTAGAAAAATCTAACAGAGTTAATTCAGGTCCTCTGGACGAATTCAGTTCAAAGAAACTGAGACATTTATTTTCTAAATATGACGTCCCAGTGGCTTTCAAACCCTAAAATACATTATAGTAAAGACTGGTCCATCCCAAAGCTCCAGTCCCCCGGAACAAACAGAGTAATTTTGTGTATGCTGTTCAGTGTCAGGAGGGCTGTGATCAGTCTTACACTGGGGAAACTAAACAGCCACTGGCCAAAAGGATGGCCCAGCACAGAAGATCAACATCATCAGGCCAGAACTCTGCAGTCTACACTCATCTCCAGGCCAGAGGTCACTCTTTCAGGGATGAAGATGTTCACATCCTTGGTGGAGAGGAACGATGATTTGAGAGAGGAGTGAACGAAGTCATCTTTGTGAAGAGAAACCGTCCATCATTAAACAGGGGCAGAGGTCTCCGTGTTCAACTGTCTCCTTCTTACAATGCTGTAATTGCTAGTATCACTCAGCCCTCTGTGAAGCAAGTGGCCATCAGAGCACTAACAATTGGTTGCTAGGCTGATCCTTTATCACGTGAACAGCTAGTTTTGGATGCCAACAGCAAACTGGTTGATCCACCATGAGAAGGTGCTACTTATAAGACTGAGATTGTTGCAGCTCCTCAGACTGATGAAGTCTTTTGGATTAAAGATGAAATGTTTCAACAAGTTTTTTTTTTTTTTATTCGTCCAGATGACCTGATTTAACCCTGTTAGACATCATAGGTACTTTCTCAGTATGACCACTTAAGAGCTACCCACTCAGCATCTTTCCTGTGTAATTACTGTAAATAAGAAGACTGTGTCATCTGCGCACATGGAAAATTCAGATTCACCATTGACCCAAAAATTGAGGTGTTTGACAAGACAAAACAAAAACAAAACATATCTTTGTTTCTGCATACATACCAGTAAGTTAATGTATTTCTCCTCTGCAATTTTGTGTCCTATATTTTGTTAAAAAGTGAGTTTATGTAATAGATGTGTCACGGCCACATGGATGCAGAGGTGAACGAGATGGAGGAAGATGCACCACTGAATAGGGAAAATCCAAAAGAAGAGGATGCATGTAATAGATGTGTTAAAGTGCTCCTCTGGAACTGTCCATGGTCCTCAAAACTAATCTGCGCCTAATTTTGAAGGAAAACTTCTCAGATAAGAAACAATAAAATAAATAAAAAAACATAACTGTCTTTGATTCAATTTGTTGAGATGTTCATGCTCTTTATGACTGAAAATCCACACCTGCATAAACACACACATACATCTGTGTTTTTCACCTCCCCACAAACACACACACACATATACACACTGTGTATATTTGCACACACCCTGTGGTGAGGGTCAGACCACAGATCAATACAAAGCATTGACAAATTGATTATCTAAATCCTGCAGTGCAGCTGTGAGGAAGTGTTCAACTTGTTTAGTTTTACAGACCTCACAGTGGTGATTGATGCCCGTGTGTGTGTGTGTGTGTGTGTGTGTGTGTGTTTGTGTGATAACTCTGAGGGTGTATGCCCACAACTTTATGCTGATTCTACCTCAATTATCTATAAAACTGCTTCTGATATTGACTGATCTGCTTCAAATTACGTGGAAAACAAACACACAGTAAGCATGAACTCTAAAACCCCATATCATGTAATGATTCATCCTGCCCTCTCTCTTTGAAGCAGAAGACTGCGTAATTCCTAATACGGTGAAGGAGAAATGGGTTTGTCTGTTTGTTTGGCGGATGACCCTTTGTCCAGAAATTTAATTTAATTCTATATTTTATATATTTGAAGCAGCGGAGGACTATTTAAGGTCACCAGTCAGCATGTCTGTCCATCAAGATGATGAATTGATTCAGGCCATCAGTAGCTGGGAATCTGAAGCGCTAGTGGTGCGTGATTTGAAAAAAGCTGAAGGGAGGAGGACAGAAGTGAAAGAGCGACCGAAAGGAACAGGGGGAAATATTTGATAGAAACATAGAAGAGAAATTAGATGAGGACAAAACAGAGTGCAACTAAAAATGTGAAAGAGTAGCAGAAATGAAGCAACTGTGTTTCCACTGAATTCAGTAAATCTCAGTCATTTAGTCCTTCTGTTGATTTTACACAGCTGAATGTTACAACCCAGACATCAGTCTGCTGTCTGGGGAATACTCACACACACAGGCGCATGTGCATTATAGCAAAGACTGATTGTTGGTATCTGAGGATAAAGACAAGGGGGCCTAATGTTTATTAGAGGGGGGGGAGTCAGGTCCCAACTGGTTATCAGCTGAGCTCAAGCTAGTCAGACACCAAGGGGCTATGATTACCCCCTTGACTTATACTCATATGAACTCAGCGCTCTGGGGCATGTGTTTAAAACATATGGGGAACGGGCCGCACCTCTGCTCCAACTGTGAGAATCCCTCTGGGACACACACACAAACACACACACACACACACGTATAGGCTCAGCAAAACCCATGTCTGAACACCCCCACCCTTCCTTCACTGCTGGTTGCGTTTCTGTGTATCTCCATGAGTGCACGGCTGCATATGTTTGCGTGCCTGATGGGAAACGAACACATTTCCATAGTAATTACGGAGCAACTCATTCCTCCTCTCCAGTTAGAAGTGTCATGACTCATTAGCGCTGCAGTCTTAAACATGGCGCAAAATCTGACATGGCCGTGGTTTTTGTTTCCTCCCGACAGCTGGGTCTGGGTGCACGTGTGTTCAGAACAGATATTTAATACCTTCCACTGAATGCAGCTGACCTCTGGTTCATCTGTTAAAGACACTAGAATTGGACTCAGGAGGACAATGTGGAGCCCATTTTGTGACAAAATGGGTCTTTATTTTCTTATTTTTATCCCTGACTTGTCACAACAGTGCACGTAGCATACCAGTAACTGAACACAGCTGAACAGTATATGTTCTCATTTGCATTTATTGCAGATTTAATAAAGGA